TCCACTCACCTCAGCCTCCCAAAGGCGCGGGATTACAGGCTGAGACACCGAGCCTGGCTGGGACCTCACTTCTTTACAGACAGTCTAGACTTGTTGGAGGAGTGGAGTAAAAGGGAGGGGAAAACCAGGTGGTTCCCAACAGAGTCAGGTCAGTAGCCAGGCTGAGGGAAGGAACAGAAAATTCATGCATTGATTCATCATTTATGATGTCATCATTTATTCCACTAATTAGCATTTAGTAGGCATCTATTGTGTGCCAGGCAAGCTGCTGGAGACAGAGATAAGTACAGCATGCTCTTGCTTTTAAAGAGTTCACAGTATAGTAGGGGTATTTGCAACAGACTGAGCTAGGTAGAGGCACATACAAAGGTGATTAGGGACACATGATGGTCAGTGATACCTAGGGAGGTCAAGGAAGGCTTCCAGAATAGGTGACATGAGGTATGTCTTAGAATACACCGGGGCCGGGCTTGGTGGCTCAACCTGTAATCCCAGCACTTTGGGAGGCCGAGGTGAGTGGATTGCCTGAGCCCGCAGGTTCGAGACCCGCCTGGGCATCTTGGCGAGACCTCATCTCCACAATAAATCAAAAAATCAGCCGGGCGTGGTAGCGTGCACCCGTAGTTCCAGTTACTTGGAAGGCTGAGGCTGAAGGATCGCCAGAGCCTAGCTGGTTGAGGCTGCAGTGACTGGGAGCGTGCCACTGCACTCCAGTCTGGGCGACAGAGTGAGACTCCAACTCAAAAAAATAAAAGAAGAAAAAACAAAGGCAGAAACCGATGCTTCTTCTGACGGTCCCGGGCGCCCTGGCGCACTTTGTAGTAGTCAGCGCTACGGGGGTGGACCCGACGCGCGGAGAAAATGGGGCGGGGTTAGAAATATTGGCGAGTGATTGGCTGTTTAGCGACTGTATGCTAATTTTACGTGACAACCCGAAATTTCTGAAAACGTAAACTTGTTAAAAATGCTTTCTTGAGCTTTGGTAATGGAAAGATATTTTTTAAAAAAACATATTTCACTATTCTAACGGGAAGAGTGATGGCCTCAGAAAACTCACCATCAGTAAAATATAAGAGAGTTTTGTTCACTCCGGAAAAGCAAGAGAAGCTTGGTTAAGACTATACTTTCAGGGATCATTTCTATAGTTTGTTACTAGAGAAGTTTCTCTGATCGTGTAGAGCACCGAAAACCACGAGGAGGAGTCACAGTGTTTTCTTCTGAGCGTGAAGCCGGCATTTGGTGTTGTAGTCATTACAACTGCCATTTGCCATTGATGATCGTTCTTACTCTTCTGTGGAAGAGTTAGAGGGGGAAAACGCATTCTGAGTGGTTTTCTATTCTAATAAGAAGAAAATCAGGCTTTGTTGTCCTGGTGTTCTGATTTTTTTTTTTTTTTTTTTTTTGTGAGCAATTTGACCCTAGTCGTACAGATGTTGGTCTTTCGGCAGAATTTTTTGTATGTTGGATTTTTCTTGGTGGAACTACTAGGTGGAAGGTGGCTTACTTTTAGGTGTTTTGCTTGCTTTTTATTGTGGGTGTGGTTCAGGTGGGCTTTCGTAGAGGTGCTTTTCTGAGATAATGCAGTTGCTTTAGTTTTTTTGGTAGGTGGGATGTTCAAGAGCATTGTATTGTTTTCTCTTGTTGGGTTCTTAGTGTTTGGTTGTATTGCAGTCTTACTCTGTGTCATAGGCGGGTGCCTGTTGACACACATGATCAGTTGCAATCTCAACTTTCTGTATTTGAAATCCAAGCAGCTTTGCATACAGTTGTATGTGTACCACGCTCAGCGTATTTTTTTGATTTGTTGTAGAAATCAAAAATCAAGTTGTCCAGATTTGTTTAGAACCGTTAGGGCTTAGGCAGTCCTCTTCTGCTCCTCAGACGTGGCAGGATTACAGGTATGAGCCAGTGGCACACTACACCTGTTTCAGCTTCTTTTCTTAAACTTTTTTTCAATTATTGATAGCCTCATTGTATTAACAGATAGTACTGGGAATGGGCTTTTTACATTTTCCCCCTTGTCTGTATGTTTTCATGGGGCCTTCTATTCTAGTGACCTTTTTATGCCATCCTTCCAACACAGTGGTTTTGTTTTGAGTTGGAGTCTCACTCTGTCTCACAGGCTGGAGTGCAGTGACACACTTCTGGGCACCACTGCCTCAACCTACTGGGTTCGGGTGGTCCTTCCACCTCAGCCTTCCAGGTAGCTGAAACTAAAGGCGTATGCCATCTTGCCTGGCTAATTTTTCGATTTATTGTAGAGATGAGGTCTCATCAACTTGCCCAGGCTGGTCTCGAACTCCTGGACTCAGGCAATCCTTCCACCTCTGCCTTCCAAAGTGTTGGGATTATAGGCGTGAGCCATCGTGCCCCGCCTCCAACACAGTATTTTAATTCCTCTCTCATCCTTTCCCATTATTGAGAAACATTTAAGTTCACGTGATAATGTACCAGTGGCTCATCCTGTAATCTCAGCACTTTGGAATACAGAGAGGGAGGCTGGATTGAGTTCAGGATTTCAGATCCCTCTCAACCAAAAAAAAAAAAAAAAAATTAGCTTGAAGCATGCCTGTAGTCTCAATTACTGGGGAGGCAGAAGGCAGAGGCAGAATAAGTTGAGCCCAAGAGGTCCAGGCTGCAGTGAGCCATGATCGCACCACTGTACTCCAGTTTAGGTGACAGGATGAGATCCTGTCTCTTTAAAAAAAGAAATAAAAATATTAACAAGTAAATATACCAGTGATTAAATGCTTTCAAACAACTTTCTGTAAATAATATTTTTGATGAATAAACACAGAGATTGCCTTCTAATTGATCTGTGACCTTTTATGTATGTGTGTAACTACTGAAGCCTTTTTCATTAAAAAAAAATTGACAGCAGTAATATATGAAAGTGCACTATAAAGACACTTAATTTTTCCCCCTAGTTCTATCCCAGGAAAACACCTGACATTTGCATTGATTCTGGTATTTGCTTTGCAGGAATTTATGTTGATGCAGTTAACTCCTTGGGCCAAACAGCACTTTTTGTTGCAGCATTATTAGGCCTTACGAAGTTAGTTGATGTTCTGGTGGATTATGGATCAGATCCAAATCAGTAAGTACAATAACATTGATATCTAGAAAATAAGGATTAAGATGAGTTGGGGCATTCGGAAACTAATTTGACAAACTATTACAAGAAAAGAACCTTTGCTAATTTATATCAGTGAAATACAGTTGTATACGTATGTTGAAACATAATTTTAACTAGTAATAAAATTTTTCTAAGCAATTATAGTGGACCCTATGAAATGATTTTGTTATTAATTAGTTAATTAGTCATTAATAGCACTTTTTGCATATTTCCACTCGGGGTATAACTTGTATTAGGTACTCTACTCACTTAAGCAGTTTAATGTGCCTTCAACCAAGTTCTTCACCATTTAATATACTTGGCATCATTTTGTGACTTCTGCTTGACTCTTATAGTTGTGGTTTTAAAGAATCTGAGTTTAACAGTGGTCCAAGTTTTAATATGTAATAGCAACACAATGTAATGAGTCAGCAACATATGAACATCTCTTTTTGGGAAACACTTTGCCTTTTCCTAGGACTAGATACTAGCTCACCTGACAGCTTCTTGACAGGGAGAGAACAGGTATTTTTACAGTTCCTAGTGAACAGAATTAGAAACTGGGGTTTGAGCACTTAGTGATTCCAGCTGATTTTCACAGGAATGCCAGAATATAAACAATCGAAGTCTTTCCCATTTTCTGTAAGGAGGCCCTGTTTAATATGCTTACTTAAAGTATAGTACTGATGTTGGAAGGTTTTTTGGTTTTTTATGGGTTGGGGGTTATGAGATTGCTTAGTGGGAGAAACCTTGGAAGCTTGGAAAAGTATAAAGAAAAAAAGCCAATCAATATGAGAATTCTGTAACCCAGAGGTGACTTAATGCAATTAACATTTTATTGTATTTACTTCCAGAATTTTTCTAGACCCCATACACTCTTCTGTCTCTACTGTATCATTTAATTTCTTTTTTTATTTTTACTTTTTGAGTTGGAGTCTCACTCTGTTGCCCAGGCTGGAGTGTAGTGGCATGCTCATCATTTACTTTCAAAACTCCAGAAAGAGAAAGCTTAGCTCATCTGATATTTACAGATACCAGCATTGTAGGGAGGCCATATTGGGGGACACTGCAGTTTCTCAGCAGAAATGCAACATTTCTTAGTCATCTGCGTTTACAACTGGTTTGTCCAGGCTTAGAGCTGGGTTACTTCAAGATTAGATCATTCAAATTTTTACTTTTCCAGGTTAGGGAACTAAGGCCCAGAAAGTTTAAATGACTAGCACATTATATGGTGCATAGTGTTAACCACAGAACTGAGACTAGGAGTCCAGTCCCTGAAGAACTCAGAGTTTAAAGAAGTTACCTTCTGGTTTTTTTTGTTTTTTTTTTTTGAGTTGGAGTCTCACTCTGTCACTCAGACTGGAGTGTAGTGGCCACTCCTGGCCACCACAGCCTCGACCTGCTGGGCTCCAGCGGTCCTTCCGCCTCAACCTTCCAAGTAGCTGGAACTACAGGCATGCACTACCACATCCGGCTAATTTTTGATTTAAAGATGAGGTCCTGCCAAGTTGCCCAGGTGCGTCTCGAACCCGCGGCTCAGGCAATCCACTCACCTCAGCCTCCCAAAGGCGTGGGATTACAGGCTGAGCCACCGAGCCCAGCTTTTTTTTTTTTTTGGGAGTTGAAGCCTCACTCACTCTGTTGCCCAGGCTGGAGTGCAGTGGCACACTCACAGCCACCACAGCCTCGACCAGCTGGGCTCACTTGATCCCTCTGCCTCAGTCTTCCAAATAGCTGGAACTACAGACACGCCCCACCGTGCCCAGCTAGTTTTTTGATTTATTGTAGAGATGAGGTCTTATCAAGTTGCCCAGGCTAGTTTCAAACTTGTGGGCTCAGGCAGTCCTCTCACCTTGTCCTTCCAAAGTGCTGGGATTATACATATGAGCCACCGTGCCCAGCCTGAATTTTCTTTTAAGGTTGAGCTGGATACAAATATTCCTTTCTTCCTTAGCATTAATGAGAAATGAAAAATAATATTTTCTCTCGCCCAACCCAACTTTCTTTTTTTTTTTTTTTTGAGTTGGAGTCTCACTCTGTCACCCAGACTGGAGTGTGGTGGCTGCTCCAGGCCACCGCAGCCTCGACCTGCTGGGCTCCGGCGATCCTTCTGCCTCAGCCTTCCGAGTAGCCGGAATTACAGGCATGCACTACCATGCCCGGCTGATTTTTTGATTTATTGCAGAGATGAGGTCTTGCCGCCCAGGCGGGTCTCGAACCCGTGGGCTCAGGCAATTCACTCACCTCAGCCTCCCAAAGGCGCGGGATTACAGGCTGAGCCACCAAGCCCGGCTTCAGCTTTCTTACTGTTTGTGGGAAGAATGATTAGAAAACCGTAAGACATTATACAAAGTTGTTTTTACAAGGAGTATATTATGATTTCCATAATACAGTGTGCTGAACTGCTTATCTGACTCAATAATGGGAGAGAGCCAGCTGTGAGAACCACAGGGATCAGTAGTTCCCACATGCCTGGGTGCAGGCCAGCCTCATTAGTGTTACCTGGGGAACTTGTAAGAAAATACACATTCCTGGGCCTTGTGTTTGCAGATTCTGATTCAGTCAGTCTGAGGTATAATCTGGGAATCTGTGTTTTTGATAAATATCTCAATGACTTATTAACTAAATTACGGTACATCCATTTGTTGAAATACTATGCAGTTCATAATAAAAACTGAGGTAGCTTGTATTTTTTCTCATGTGGAAATTTCTCTAAGATATATTGTTAAATGAAAAAACTTAGATGCAGAACAGTTTACATAGCATATTCCTGTTTATACTTGTATACACATAGAAAGTTTCTGGTAGGATACAAAAACGTGTAATAGTTGTATATGGACAAGAGAACTAAGTGTCTGGAGTTGAGAGATATTTTTCTTGTTTTCTCCTCCTCATTCTCTTCTCCTTTTATTTTCTCTTTCCCCTCTTATTCTTTCTTCTTCTCCTTCTGTTTTCCTTTCCTTCTACTACTTGTTTTGTTTTTTAAACTTTTAATTTTTTTATTTTAAAGATGTGGGGTAACTTGTTTCTTTTACAATTAAAAAGAGAAAGTTCTCCAGGTGATTCTGATGTGCAACCAGGTTAGAAAACCAAGGCTACACATTACATCCTCACAATAAAGGCCATCCCTTCAGCCCCAGATGGCTTATTGGCTTTGATGACATTTTTCTGAGGTTTAGATCTTTGACTGGATTGCTAATGTCAAGGTTTGTGAGCTGCAGGATTGGGCGGTCGGTAGAGACATTCTCACATGAGAGAGGTAGTCTTGCTAAACTGTGCTAGACCAGCTTGAATCCAGGACACTGTAGACACAAATAAATTTTTTCAGGGCAGCCTGTATTAGGGTTGGAGGTGGGGAGAGAACACTGAATTTGGAACCGGACCCATGCTTGGGAGTCAACCTCAGCTTTGCCGTTGAGATTCCTCATCTGTAAATTGAGAAATGATATTGCCTTGAAGGGTTGAGGTAGTGGAGAAAAAAGATGGATATCAAGCTCCTGTTGGCACAGACAAGGCCCTCACAATTGATATTATTTTTTTGTTTTTGTTTTTTTTAGATTGGAAAATATAGTTTATTTAGAGAGAGAAGAGGAAATTCACCTCCCCAAGGTAGGGGAGGGGGCCAAAGCTTAGGAAACATGTCAGTGGCCATAGCTTAAAGAGCCATGTGGCCACACCAGAGTTTAATAAAGCAGTGGCAACAACTGATATTATTATAGTTCTCATTACTAAAGGTGACCTTTTCTAGAGTGGAAGCCCTGTGTTACACATTAGCCCCCTCTATGGAGTGGAGTGTTGCTGTGGACACTCATTGTACCCATTCCCCCCTAGCCGCTGCTTTGATGGGAGCACCCCTGTACACGCAGCTGCGTTTTCAGGCAACCAGTGGATCCTCAGCAAACTGCTGGATGCTGGGGGTGACCTGCGGCTCCATGATGAGAAGGGTCGAAATCCTCAGACCTGGGCTTTGACAGCAGGGAAGGAGCGCAGCACCCCAGTAAGTGTCATTCTCACTACAGTCAAGCCCAGTGAAAGAGCACTGGGCTGAGAGTCAGGCTCTCAGGGACAGCATAGAATGTGTAGTGACCTGTGTTTGGCAGTTGACTCCAAGGCCTGAGTTGAAGCAAGTTAACCAGCTGTGAAACCTCAGGCAAGTTTAGTGAACCTTTCTGTCATCTATTCTCTGGGGGGGGGGGGAACAACTGTAATTTTGTTTGACTAGCACTTTACCATGTTCTAAATTTTTTTCTTTTCTTTCTTTTTTTTTTTTTTTTTGAGTCAGAGTCTCATTCTGTTGCCTAGGTTGGAGTGCAGTGGCACGCTCATGGCCACCGCAGCCTTGACCTGCTGGGTTCAGGCAATCCTTCCACTTCAGCCTTCTAGGTAGCTGGAACTATAGTTGCACGCTACCACGCCCAGCTAATTTTTTGATTTATTGTAGAGACGAGGTCTCACCATGTTGCCCAGGCTGGTCTCGAACCCGCGGGCTCAGATAATCCTCTCACCTTGGCCTCCCAAAGTGCTAGGATTACAGGCTTGAGCCTCCGCACCTGATTTTAAATTTTTTATTATATTAACTCATTTAGTCTTCACAACTCCTCAGTAAGTACTATTATTGTTCCCACTTTATAGGCGGGAACATGAAGTCACTTGGCTGAGGCCACACAGTAGCAGCTGTGATATGTTTTAATGAGGACTAAATAACAGGTGTAAAACACAAAGGCCATGCACAGTGTCAGGCTCCGCCTCGTGCAGTCTCCTTCTCTCCCTCTTGATCTCCTGCTCTTTAGCTCTTGAGCATTGGAACAGTAATACCACTCTTTGTTGGCCTTTTTCCTCATCTGTTGAAGGAGGGAATTGAAGAAAATTGTTGCCAGATTTTCTTTCTGAAAACATTCCATAGCTTTAGAAAATCACTGGGCCCTTCCCTTTCCAGAGATTTCCCTGTCGGGCTCTCAGCTCCCAGATCGCTCATCTTCATACCCACCCACACCCCCATTCCTGATGAAGGCTGGTGTGGCCAGCATTGAGCAGCTCTGTGGTGCTTTGCAGATGGTGGAGTTTATGCAGCGCTGTGCCTCACACATGCAGGCTGTCATCCAGGGCTTCTCTTATGATCTCCTGAAGAAGATAGATGCCCCTCAGCGGCTCATCTACAGCCCGCCCTGGTTTGGGGGCCTCATGCAGGGGTGAGTACTGCCTTGAGCAGAGTGGAGTGTTGTACATCACCCCAGGCTTCCTCGTGAGAGCCCTGCAGCACGGGCTGCCTTGGTTTCCTCCTCAGCAGTGCCCTCCAGTATCTGGCCCATCCAAAGGGGTGTGCTCAAAAAGAGAAGATGTGGCCCCCAATCAAGCACAACCAGAGGAGCACCTTTGGCCATCTCCCCTTTTTTCTGGAAGGGCTGGTGGAAGTGATTGTGGGCACCAGTGGGAACCACCCTACGGTGAGCAGAGGAGGAACATCTCAGCTCTGAGGAACCCAGCAGAAAACCTTTACTCCGCAGGGCACCTGGCTGGTTTTTTGTCAACTCTCAAATGGTGGAAAGAGTGTTTTCTTATTACTAAGGTTGTAAAAGGCCACAAATGCTTAACTTATGGCTTCTTGGGCTATTTTAAGTTGGCATGAGACTTGCTGGCAGTGGGGTGTGCAGCGCCCCCAACCCCATTCCAGCACAACTGCAGGAGGAGGGGCCAGGCTTCTCTTCCTGCTTGGGGATAAGCTTGGCATCTGGGAGTTATTTTTGTTTGTTTGTTTGATTTTTTTAGTTGGAGTCTCACTCTGTGGCCCACGCTGGAGTGCAGTGGCACACTCATGTCACCGCAGCCTTCACCTGCTGGACCCAGGCAGTCCTTCTGCCTTAGCCTTCCAAGTAGCTGGAACCACAGGCACACGCCACCACGCCCGGCTAATTTTTTTATTTATTGTAAAGACGAGGTCTCACCAAGTTGCCCAGGCTGGTCTCAAACTCCTGAGCTCAGGCAATCCTCTCACCTCAGCCTCCCAAAGTGCTGGAATTACAGGCTTCAACCACCACGCCTGGCCAGGGAGTTGTTTTAAATACTCTGGGCCTCGTTGACTTAGGGTTTATATGTAGATAATTCCTTCCATTTGGTTTTTCTCTGGTGGCATCTCTTTCTGTAGACAAGGTGACTGGGCTTCCCACTCTTGCAGCTCCCTTGTCCTGACTTTCATGGACATGAGTCCTGGTTTTCCTCTCATGACCCAGATACTGGACCTCCTCAGGTGAGACGAGTTTATGAGGACAAGTTACTCCTCACTGCTGTGAGGTCACTCCGGCCAGTCTTGTTCTTTACTCAGCATCCAGAATGACTTTTTAAAAATAGAAGTTGGTTTTTGTCATTCTCTGCTAAAAACCCTCTTAGGACCTGTTGAGAGAAACTTCTAAATCCATCCTCTGGCCTGTGGGGGCTCTGCCTGGTCCCCGCCTCTCCCGCTTCATCTCCTGCCCCTGCCCCTTGCCCTTGCTTGGAGTCCCACTGTTCAGAGTTTAGAGAGTTTCATGGTTTGCAATGAAGCATCTGTAAACATTCTTTTCCATTTTTTTCTAATTAGATTGTGAATTCTAAGAGGGGAGGGAATGTGTCTGTCTCATCACTAACCTTAACTGCCTTGTGCATGCTAGAGCTCAACACAAGGAGCTAGCCTGAAAGGAAGTCTCAAGCTTAAGTATTGATAAACTTTGAAAATTCTAGTTACTAGTCAAGATACAGCATCTATTTTGTTTTATTTCATTTTATTTTTGAGTTGGAGTCTTACTCTGTCGCCCATGCTGGAGTGCAGTGGCATGCTCACGGCCACTGCGGCAGTGACCTCCTGAGTTCAGATGATCCTTTTACTTTAGCCTTTCAAGTAGCTGGAACTACAGGCATGCACCACCGCACCACCATGCCTGGCTAATTATAACGTTTTTTGTTATTTTTTAGTTGGAATCTCACTCTGTCATCCAGCCTGGAGTACAGTGACACGCTCATGGCCACCGCAGCCTCGACCTCCTGGGCTCAGAGGATCCTTTTGCCTCAGCCTTCCAAGGGGCTGGAATGTGCCACCATGCCTGGCTAATTTTTTGATTTATTGTAGGGACAAGGTCTTGCCAAGTTGCCCAGGCTGGTCTCAAGCCCCTGGACTCAGGCAATCCTCTCGCCTCAGCCTCCCAAAGTACTGAGATTATAGGAGTGATGCCACCACACATGGCATCTATTTTATGATTATATGAGATTGGGCACATTCAGAATAGTATGGCTACAGACTATTTGATAATTAGATGAAACATTCTTACTATGGGACTAATTCTTAGTGACAATAAGGTGGAAATATATCCCCTCCCCCCCCTTTTTTTTGAGTTGGGGTCTCACTCTATTGCCCAGGCTGGAGTGCGGTGGTATGCTCACAGCCACTGCAGCCAGGACCTACTGGACTCAGGCGATCCTTCCACCTCAGCCTTCCAAGTAGCTGGAACTATAGACACATACCACCCCTAGCTAATTTTTTGATTTATTGCAGAGATGAGGTCTCACCAAGTTGCCCAGGCTAATCTTGAACTTATGGGCTCAGGCAATTCTCTCACCTCGGCATCCCAAGTGCTAGAATTACAGGCATGAGCCGCCACGCCCAGCCCCCTCTTTTTTAATGTAAATACACTACACAAATCCTTAAAATAGACTAGGTTTCTCAGATCTGTGAGTGCTGCCAGGTCAAATAAGATTCCTCACAGGTGTATCTTTACACAGAGCCTGGATTGAGGAATGAAAATAAAAGCACTGAGTTGAGAAGAACTGATGGCTATACGGTTGTAAATGACTGTAATCCCAGCCTGGCACAGTTGAGTTGCTGGGATTACAGTCATGAGCCACTGTGCCCAGCTTCCACCCCGTACTTTCTACCCTATCATACTGAGTTAATAGGCCAGCCCTATCTGTCCTGTGAGGGGCTACAGAATGTCGTGAATACTAGGAGGTGGGAGTCATAGGGGCCCTCTCAGAGGCTAGCTATCACATCATCTCTAGTTCCATGATGAAAAGTCAAGTAGTGAAGACTAAACCAGCTGCACACTCTGAAAATTTGATTCAGCATTGTTCTTCTGGATATGAGTGGGTAATTCTTAGTTTTTTTCCTCTCTAAAATAATTCTAGAAACCTTAATGGCTCTCCTAACCGACTGCTTAAAGCTGGAGTCGTTTCTGCCCAAAATATCTACAGCTTTGGCTTTGGGAAGGTAAGAGGTTGCCACTGACAGCCAGCGTTTGCAAGACTAACGGGATAGTCATTTGGCCCCATTTCCCCCCCTTGTCAACTCCTCCCTCCTTATCCTCATCAAAGTTTTTTTTTCCCTCTTTCTTGCCCTTGTTGTGGGAAAGGTATCTCTTAGTATTCCCATCCTTATTGACAAATAGTGAAAATCCTGGAGAATTCCTTTGAATGACTTAAGTTTTGGGAAGTTTAGAAGATGATCCTTTGATTCTTAGAGAAGGCCCCAGACATGCTTTCTCATAACTGAGACGCAGGGAATGTGCCGACCCCATGGGTCTGTTCCCTGATTGACCTTGCCCTCTCACAGGCTGAGTGTGCTCGGAATGCTTTTAAGCAATTGAGATTTTCTTTTCTTTTTTTTTTGAGTAGGAGTCTCTCTCTGTCACCCTGACTTGAGTGCAGTGGCACTCAGCCTTCTGAATAACTGGAACTATAGGCATGCTACCTAATGTTTTGATTTATTGTAGAGATGGGATCTCACCATGTTGCCCAGGCTGGTCTCTCTCTCAAAGTGCTGAGATTACAGGTGTGCACCACCACACCTGGCTAGAATTCCGATTTTCATTGAGAAATATGTTGAGGGCAGGTAGTATCTTTTGACTCCTTGGTTCTGTCTATCAGAGAGACAGTTGGGAAACGTTACTGGGTGAGTGAATCATGTTTGCTGACAGCTTAGCTCCCACTCCTGATTCTGTTTGTTGTGCTGAGGCAGGCTGGTGGGAATGGGGAAAGGGAATATTGACTTTGACCGCACACAGTCCTGGGTTCTATGGGGGCCACTACAGTCCCAGCCATGGCATTTCAGACAGGCATCTCATCTCTTTGAGCCTCAATTTCTTCATTAGTTAAAGAGAAAGAATAATATAGTCTTGCAGGGTTTCTAGTAAGTTGTTTTTTATTTTTTAATTTTAATTTTTTTGAAACAAAGTCTTATTCTGTTGCTCAGGCTGAGTGGTGCAGTGGGGTGATCATAGCTCACTGTAATTTCAAACTCCTAGGCTCAAGCAATCCTCCTACTTCAGCCTCCCAAGTAACTGGGACTATAGACATTTGCCACCATGCCCAGCTAATTTTTTTTTTTTTTTTTTGTGGAGACAGTGTCTCGCTATGTTGTCCAGGCTTGTCTTGGACTCCTGGTCTCAAATGATCTTCCTGCCTCAGCCTCCCAAAGTGCTAGAATTACAGGTGTGAGCCACTGTGCCCAACTTGTTTCTAGGAAGATTAAAGCTAATATAATGTCCAGTGCATAGGGGCATTCAGTAAGTCAGTAAATAGCAGCTATCACTGTCTTAGCTGGCTGTTAAGATTCTGAAGGTATTTTGCTTTTCCTCTCTTCTCTCGACAATTTGAGTCCATGTTTTGGTTTCAGTTTTATCTCACAGGGGGCACAGAGCTTGCCTATCTGGGATCTCTTCCAATCATTGGAGAAAAAGAAGTGATTCAAGCTGACGATGAGCCCACCTTCTCTTTCTTCAGTGGCCCCTACATAGTCATGACCAAGTAAGTGGGGGCTGGCCGGGGCGGTCTGATTTAGTCCCATGGGAAGAATGGGCTGCTTGTGGCTTCCTTATGCATGGAGGGTTTCTATTCAAACACAGGGAGCAAGTAAGAGCATGTGTCTAGTGGGGGTTTCTTGGCCAGACACTGTTGCATTTTGGGGCCAGATGATCTTTTGTTGTTGGGAGTCCTGTGCTTTGCAGAATGTTGAGGCGCTAGCCCTCATCACTAATGCTGCTTACAACCACCAGCAGTGTGACAGCTAAGCTGTCTACATAGGCTGCCAGATGTTCTCTGGAAGGAGAACTGCTGCTCTGAAAGATTGCTCATTACAATAATGACTTAACTTTTCTGCTTCCTCAAGAATTAGAGGCTGCTTGGTGGCAACTGTCTTGCCGCTGATAAGGGCCAAAGGGTGTTGAAGCCTCTGTGGGGCTAGAGCAGGCATCAGCTGTGGCCTTCGCCAGCCAAATCCGGCAGAGGTGGCAGTAATAGGATTTGGATATGACAGAGGTACCTGGGTGTTCTCAGTCCACAGAGACCCAGCCACTGCAGGATCATGGGAGTCCTGGCTAAGGTCTCTTGGCCTTGAAGCTGGATTGTTTCTTTCCTGCGTAGGAGAAACACTTCTAAAAAGGCCTCTGCCAGATTCACATGGCTATCTGTCCTCTATACATCTGCTCCTTGTTTTCCTGCCTGTTATCAGGTCCCTTCCTCTTTGTCCCACTGCTGCTGCCTTTGCCCAAGTCCTCAGTATCCCTCACTTGGACTGACCTCTTAAGTGGCTTCCCATTGCCTGGACCACCCTTGCCCTACTCACTCCTCACACTGCTGGTGTCATTGTCTCTCTAAAACACAAACCTTGTCAAGTCACTCCCTCCCTTAAATCTTTCACTGACTTCCTGGCACGTGTACCTAAATTCCCCAGGGTGCCTTAGTACCTGGAGGTAATGGGAGGGAGGACCCAGCACTACCCAGTGGCAAGTGGCATTATAGTTCTTGTGTAGAGACCACTTCTCTGGCCTTTGTTTGGGAAAGCTTACTCACTGAAGAAGTGACTGCTCACTGCTTTCTGCTCAAACTCTCTCCTGTCCTTATAGCCTGGTGTGGAATGGGAGCAGAGTCACAGTGAAAGAACTGGATCTTCCGACCCACCCACACTGCAGTAAACTGCGACTGACCGACTTGTTAATTGCTGAGCAGGAACACAGCAGGTGAGAAGGAGGCCTAAGGGCTGACCCCTTACAGGTCCAGGTCTCTTTACAGACCCAGGTTCTGGGCTGTTCGGGGCTGTTCATGGGGTGTGGAGTACCAGTCCCCCTCAGCCTCAATATTTCCTGACTGTCAGAATCGGTTGGCTTGACTTCCAAGGTCTGCCAAGAAAGAGAAAGAGAAGGAAGAACTAATGAATAGTCTGAGGAGAAATGGATGGTGGTGGTGAGGGGCTCAAACCTGTCAGCTGTCCTATAACCTGTGGCTATGCATGGTCCAGCCTCCAGGCAGGCCCATCTGGGTCTCCTGCAGCAGCCCCTGAGGCCATCCATTTGGGCCCCATGCCCATAAGGGCAGCATGTGGCTATTCTCTTTTCATAGAGCATAACTGTACATGAGATCCAGATGTCTGAGAACCCCATCTCTGCCATTGAGGACTTGCTCATGGGACCTTAGGTTTCATGGACTCCAGGGTTAGGTCCTTCAGCTCTGGATAGGGCAGGCTCTAGACTCATGGTTTCACAGCAGGTCACTGAGGCCCTGGAATGGACCCAGGCTCCTTGAGCTCTCTCTTGAGAAGGCCACTCAACTCCTGCAGGAGGCATCTAGAGAGGCCAAAGTCTCTCTTTTGGGGAAGTCAACTTAAGGGGACCCAAGGAAGCTGAAAGGGCATGTAGACACAGCGTAGACTTTGACACAAGACTGAGTGGCATGTGTGACCTTGTCTTTCTTTTTGTTGTTTTTTGAGTTTGGGGTCTCACTCTGTCAACCAGGCTGGAGTGCAGTGGCACGATCACAGCTCACCACAACCTCGACCTCCTGGGCTCAGGTGATCCTTCCGTCTCAGCCTCCCAAGTAGCATGGACACAAGCACCACCACACCAGGCTAAATTTTTGTAGAGACAAGGTCTCACTATGTTGCTCAAGCTGCACTTGAAGTCCTGGGTTCAGGCGTCCCAGAGTGCTGGGTTTACGGGCATGAGCCACAGTACCTTGCCCTGACATTTTTTTTTTATTGGTTTTCTCATCTCTAAAATGAATATAATGATACATTTCTTGCAGGTGGTTGTTGGAACCTGAGATGAGGTATGCAAAATATGCAGAGTGCTTTGCTCAGGAGGTCTTATCAACATCACTAACTTTATGGTAATTGATGGCTCTGAAGCTCTCAGGATCTGAATGTGAGAGGCCACGGAGTCCACCATTAGAACCCCTCACCCCCAATGCCTCCTGTTTTCTTAGAAAAAAATGTTGTCTACAAATGGTATTTGCTTAGAATATGTTCAAATGGCCTAGAAGAAAAGGCATTTTTTTTAATCATATCCTCCTTCCCCCTGCCCCATCTGAAGCTTTTCTTCTTTGCAGCAAGCTGCGGCACCCCTACTTGCTGCAGCTGATGGCTGTGTGCCTGTCCCCGGACCTGGAGAAGACCCGCCTTGTGTACGAGCGTGTCACTGTCGGCACATTGTTCAGTGTCCTCCATGAACGAGTAAACAGCCATTTCCATGGATTTTCCCCTTGCTGTCCTCCCTGCCTCTTCCCCCTGCCTGCTGTTCATGCAAGAAAGATAAATCTCTTAATTCTCTTACATTCTAAGGGCTGTATAACATACCACTTAAGGCTGATAAACATATGGTTGGAAATAGCGTGATTTTGTTATTATCATCACTCCTGCTTGTTTTTTTTTTTGAGTTGGAGTTTCACTCTGTCACCCAGACTGGAGTGC